GTACTATAGCAAGATAGATTTAAAATCCGGCTACCATCAAATCGCAATAAGACCTGAGGATCAACACAAGACTGCATTTCAGACCAGATATGGTCTTTATGAGTTTGTTGTGATGCCCTTTGGCCTTTGTAACGCGCCGGGTACATTCCAGCACGCTATGAATAAGATCTTTCATGACCACTTAGATAAGTTTGTCGTAGTCTACTTAGACGATATCCTTATCTTCAGTAAGTCTGTCCAAGAGCATGCACAACACGTTGAGACTGTACTCTCACTCTTGCGACAACACAAGTATAAGGTAAACCTAGAGAAGTGTGAGTTCGGACGTACTAAGATCTTATACTTGGGTCATGAAGTATCCGCGGAAGGGATTAGGCCGGAAGATGCGAAGGTGGCTAGTATTCGAGACTGGCCACGACCTCAGACTGTCACTGAGGTCAGATCTTTCTTAGGAATGTGCGGCTACTATAGAAATTTCGTAAAGAACTATTCCACAGTCGCCCCTCCTTTGACAAATCTAACTCGACTCGACACGCCATGGTACTGGAGTGATGAGTGCGAGGGTGCTTTCAAACGACTGAAGCATGCACTCATGAATCATGAGGTTCTCATGGTGCCCGATCCTCAGAAGCCGTTCATTGTGACCACTGACGCAAGCCAATACGACATTGGCGCAGTGCTGGCTCAGCAGGATGGGAAGAAGTTGAGATCGATTGAGTACATGAGCAAAAAGATGCCATCTAAGAAATTGGCAAAATCCACCTATGAAAGGGAACTCTATGCTCTCTACAAAGCCCTTGTTGGGACGGTTCTTCTACTTGAGAACTGACCATCAGACCCTCAAATGGATCAAGACTCAACCGGCTCTTCCTGATGCACTCAAGTGCTGGATTGAGGTCATAGATCAGTATGACTTCAAACTTGAGTATCTGAAGGGAGAGTACAACAAGGTTGCAGATGCGCTATGCCGTAGAGTAGACCACCTAGGGGCGCTAGTTTCTGAGTTTGGTGTATCTCAGGAAGTAACTCAATCGTTGGTGGGAGCCTATCAGGAAGACCCTGTCACGATGGACATCATCCACAAACTTCAGGCAAAAGACAAGGCCACAGAGAATGAGTTTGTGATGGTGGATGGGTTACTCTTTCTTGATAAGGCCGGGTGTAAAAGGTTAGTAGTTCCATCAAGTGAGAGTTTGCGTAGTTTATTTCTAGGAGAATATTACGACGCAACCGGACATTTTGGCTACAAAAAGACGAGTGTCAATCTAGTACAACAATTTTGGGGGCCTGGAATGCTAGATGACGCAAAGAAGTATGTAGAGACCTGTCAGGTCTGTCAGCGGGACAAGCCGCGAACTCAAGCACCACTTGGGTTGTTGAAGCCCTTACCTATCCCCGCTGGTCCAGGACAGAGTGTTTCCATGGATTTCATGGACACCCTGGTGACCAGTAAGAGTGGCAAGAAGCACATCTTCGTCATCATCGATCGATTCACCAAGTACGCTAGACTAGTTGCCATGCCAGAGACCGCAA